GTAATGGACTCACATTGAATTGGATCCGATTGGACCAAATCCAATTCAATTGACACCCCTAGCTTGTTCTGAAAACTGCAACTAGACTTGTTCATGGGTCGGGTAGAATGACGGCCTGGCCCTCAAACGGGCTTGAACATGAGTTTTAACTCGCGGGCTTGACCTCGAGCCTAATAAAAGCCCGACTCGATTTTTTCAAGTCGGGCTTGGGATTTGTCAAAAAAGCCCGACCCGGGTTTTATATAGTTTAAACCCTAAATTCTTAAACCGCCTAACCCTAACCCTAAATTCTTCTCACTTTTCTTCTCGTCCATATTTTCTCACTCTCAAACTCTTAGAATTGGCAAGCCTAGGTGCACCGTTTTCATTCTACAAACTCAGGCACCGGAGGTTGGTGTCACCAGAACTAGGTCCTCTCTCTCTCTCTCTCTATTCGGCATCGTTTTCATCTTCTATCTTCTCACTTTTCTTCTCATTCTCAGTTTCTCACTCTCAAAACTCGCAAACCCAAGCACATCGTTTTCACTATGCGAACTCAAGCATCGGTGGCTGGTGCCACCAGAACTAGGTCGTCTCTCTCTTCAGCGGTGAGCTCTCTCTCTCTCTCTCTCTCTGACCGATACCATTTTCATCTTCTATCTTCTCACTTTCTTAGTTTTCATTCTCACTCTCACACTCCCAGGAACCGATGAACTCAAGCATCGACGCTCAGACTCCCAAGTCGGGCTTTGGGCTCAGGCCTAAAAAATTTATATTAATGAAGAGCAAAAACCCGACCCATAAACAAGTCTAACTACAATGAACCAAAGTATAAACACCCCTATTTGGATCTAGGTCCAACAAGTGTCCCAACAACCGATCACAAGATACTTTGAACATCTCCCTTATCCTCCACAGCAACACGTTCTCAAGCAACCTATATGCAGCGATGAATAGGAAATATCTTCATTGTCCTCCATGGTGAGATTTCCCTGCCACTGCAAAGTCAGTGTGACCGGTTGGTATAACTTCACTGTCTCATAGGCTAGATCGAATTCAGTCAATGCAAAGCTTGTTGGGACACTTTTATAGACTTGCATCGAGAACATTTCCATACTTTTATACTTTATTTATGAGGACTATAACGATGGTTCGAACGGGCTTGGCACTGACTGAATCCGATTTCCACATTGCACGCACAGATGTCAGCCACTGTCGTGGTCGTGGAATCTACAAATAGATGAACATGCGGAGCACCAACAAAGCTGGGCAAATAATTTATGGGCACATAAACGAGCAATAATCTGCTGCTGCAAATCAAGTGTATGAACCAGGCTATAAAGCCAATCACTAGTGGACACGTGTTCACTTATAATTGGTTACCTAGCCTAATTCACATTTTGATCACAGCAGATGACATGTCCACAAGATGACAGAAGCTTCCTCTGCCGACCCATGTGAACTATACTGTCAAAGCCGGTTGTTTTGTTTCCCCAAAATGTAAAACGTGTTTGGAAAAGGAAAAGAAAAACATTTTTTATTTATACATATAGTCCAAAACTGGTCATCTTTCATCTTTGAATCTCAGTGGAACCTGATGTCTGAGCCAATCGTTCACTTGACGTGAATGTAGAGATAAAAAAAAAATAATTAAAAATTCATGATTTACGTTTTACTAATGCTTTCGTTGAGAATCGAACTCAAGACCTCCCGCTTACTAAACGGGTGCTCTAACCAACTGAGCTACGAAAGCTACATGAAATACTTATAGCTAAAAGATAATATGTTAGAGTGGCCAAGTTCAAATAGAAACAAATCTCCCCTGCAAAACCGAACCGCCTGAACCAATTACCTCGGTTTGTTTCCGTTATAATAAGGTTGGGATCGGTTTTTGCTGTTCCCAACCGATTAAACCCGGATTAAGTATATATTTTCCTCTAAATTTTATTTAAATTATATTTAAAAGGGTAAATTTCATTGATGATATATAAGATAATTTTGGTTACAAAACTTGCTTTATTAATATTATATTATAAAAATTAATATTTTAAAGATAATTATAGATATCAAGAATAACCATTCCAACCGGCAAGGTTCGAGGTATCAACACTCTCAACTTTAGGAGTCATCATGGCCTGCGTCTTCCAAGCCTATGAATTTTATGTACAAAATATCTGTTAATGGCTTGATCTATTCGATAGGCCTGATGGACTTAAATCGATTTGGCTGGTTTTGGTATTTATGGGTTAGTTTTAGTTTTTAATGTATTGTCTTGATTATTATTAGTTTGAAATTGGTTTCATCCGGTCTTAAACTGGTTCAGATTCGATTCAAGTCATATATATTAGGGTAAATTTCTTAAACTATCCCTACTGTTTAATTAATTGTCAAATTGTACCTCTACTATTTATAAATTGTCTTGGAGCACCCTTACTGTTTTTGACAATTGTCACTATCGTTAAATCGTAATGCTTTTTATTGAAATGTTGTTTATGCCCTTCCATTAAGTTGGACCAGAATTTGCTCGAAAAGAAAATTACTGTATTAACCCTCAATGGTTAATTATTTTCATGAAAGCCAAACCCTTCGTTGTTCGTTCTGAACACTCCATTACCGCTGCAAATTCCGGCCAGTGACCGTAAACTTTTGTCTATAGGTAAGATAGAAGAAAACGATGTTAACACGACATATAGTTTTATGGCTTTTAAACCTCAAATAGTAGAAGAAAAACAACGTTGTTTTTAAACCCTAATCCTTTCGTCTTACACGGTTGTCTTACTGTCAATATTTTATGTGTTTTCTTTTTGGGGGGATTTTTAGCCTACACTCCACCTCAGAAATACTGATTTGAACTGTAGACCTACAACAATTAAAATTTATGAGTAGCTCCACCTATAACACCCACACCCGTCCTTGAATTGGCATCAATTCCGAGCTGGCACCCACCCCCAACTGTATGGTGGAGCTAGGATTTCAGAGGTTGACTGAACGGTAAAACCCCCTTTTTTTTGCAGTGAATTCAGCTTTTTAGACATTTCATTGTGAAAGTTCTACTTTTGGGGAGACCATTTACAGAGATCCAAAGGTCCAAAGTCAATCTTGGTTAGTGGACCATTTACATATATTTGAGGTTCAACATTGCCCCCGAAAGGTTACGTGTCATGTTTGGGATCCATGTGGGCAAGCGAGTGGATGGGCGGGGTTGGGCATGCGAGCGGGTGACGCAGGTGAGCTGTAGGGGTGGGAATGCGAGATGACGAGGCGGGCAGGCAGGGGGTTGGGGGCTGGGCGTGCGAGCAGGTGATGCGGGAGGGCATCGAAAATCTGTATTTTTCAGTCATTGTGAAATGCTCCATTCACAATGAAATGTTACGTTTACATCGTCCCTAAGTTTCCATCCGATGATGGTTTTACCTACTCACAATCGATTGACAGAGCTCACCTTCCATCGGATCAGTTGTACTTGAAGTTATGCCAATTATTACCAAACACCAAAACCGTCTCGTGGCTGTAATATAGCATAGGTGATGATTGTGACTCCAACCAAACCGAACACAATACCTTCCTCTACTCACAGAGAGGATTGTGTATTACCCAAACAAACCGAAGGCAATACCTTCGTCCTTGTCGTGTTGATATATGTGTGATGCAAGTGGCCCAAAGAGATTGTTGTGACCAAACTGAAATGGGCCAAATTGAAAAGGTGCATTTTAGACCGGTAAAGGGTAATTCAATATTTTTTTAACAATATACCCATCATGTGATGTCACATGTCAATGACCCATAACAGATAGTTGATAGTAGGGGAAGTTTGTGACAATTGTCAGAAATAGTAAGGGTTCTCCAAGGCAATTTATAAAYAATAAGGTACATCTTGACAATTAGCTAAACAATAGGGGTTGTTTAAGAAATTTGCCCTATATATTAAATAAGTTATACACATATATACATACATATTATAAAATTAGAGAATAATTTTTATATTTATAATAAAACTTTTAAAATAAAAATACAAAAAAATCACAAAAATAAAGAAAAATTTGGGCATATATTTATAAAAAAATAAAATATTGGGTCCATCTATAATATTATACATTAATTGTATTGAACAAATATAAGTATTATACAAAATTTTATCATGATGGAAATGCAATAATAAATGGTTTTGGTGGTGGGTTAGTGGTTTGGGTCAAATGGATTAACCAATGATGTTATAGTAAAATAATAATTTTTTAAAAAATAAAAGGTACAAGGAATTAAAAATATAAAAATTATAAAAAATTTGGACATATTTCTAATATTATAATGTAGATGAAATATATAATTTAAAATTGATCTGAAAGCAAGGCTATTTTCCTATCTAAATAGTGGGTCAATGATCAAATTTTCAAATAAACTCATGGTGATGTCAAAATTGAATAATAAATATTTAAAAAAGATAAAACACAAAAAATACAATTTTATTGAAAACATTTAAAGACATTTCTAATGTTATATATTCATCATTTTAAATAAAAAATTATTAAAATAAAAATTATTTTTATTTATGATGAAAATAATAATAATAATAATAATCATTGTAATTTAACCATCGCTATTCACAGCACTAACTCCATTATGTTGCGAGTGGCTCTACAATTAGGTCAATTGGTATATTGAATCAAAAGTTGTATGAAAAATGTAAAAATCAGTAAATAGGGTGCTGGTAAGTCCACACCACACTGTATGGAAAACAGCGTAGTGTGTTCTTAGTGAAAAGTTGATGTCAATAGTCTTTTTTGTCCTTAGTCAAAAAGACTATTCTGCACAGATGAAGGACGAAACGTAAGGGCATTTTCGTCAGTTAAAGCACATGCCAAGTTTGTGCCTTTATAAAAAAATTGGACGTGTTCAAATAACTGCAGGAGGAAAGACGAAAAAAACAGAAACAGAAAACGTTGGTAAATGGTGAGCGGTGACAAATGAAATTGACAGCGATGGCGGCTTTTTCAAAAAAATATATAAATTAAAACCCATTTTCTCTCTCGCACGTTGCGAGAAAAACAGTACCAAACGGAGACGGATACAGAAACCCCAACGCTTTTGCCTCCTTTTCTCTGCAACTTGCTTCCTCTCTATCTCCATCTCCCTGCGCGCCAATGGAGGCTCTGTGGCTTTCCCATTCGCACGTGCCTCTGCTACGCTCAACACGTGCGAATTCAAGCTTGCCCTCTTACCTAACGGCGAAGCAGCAGCAGAGTTGCAGGAAGAATCACTTCATCGCCGCCACGATTGCCAAAGAAACAACAGACGTCCCTCGGAAACCCTCCGCCGTTACTTCCACGGAAAAGCCGTTGCAGAGCTCTCCAGCTATTCCCTTAAGGAGGGTATCGGCCGATTCTTTGCAGTACGAGAGTGGTTTCCTCGGCGGCGTACCGGACAGGTCGTTGCTGACGGCCGATGACGCGGATGGAGTTCCTGACGCAATGACTTACTTGACTGATATACTGTCTTCCAATGTCTACGATGTGGCTATCGAGTCGCCATTGCAGCACGCGCAAAAGCTCTCGGACAGGCTTGGCGTCGATGTTTGGCTTAAGAGGGAAGATTTGCAACCTGTGAGTTTTTTATTTGATTTCTCTTTAAAGTTTCTATCTTTTTATGCGATTTTTAGTTTGATCTCTTTTGTTGAGTTTGAGAGGTATTTCTTTAGTTTTGTGTGTGTTTTTGGAATGAACGTCCATAGTTTCTGTTATTGTTGCGTTATGTGAAGAATTTTCATCTTTTTTTTTTTCCTTCTCTCTCTCTCTCTCTCTCTCTCACAAACACACACACACTCAAACACACAGTAGAGAATGTTGATGTGTTTTGTGGAAACCCGAGAAATGGATAAGAATTTTGTGTGTAGATAGGAAATGGGAATGTTAGATTAGTTCTGTGTCTGTGATGATAGTGTTGACAGTTGGATATGTAGGTTTTCTCATTCAAGCTGCGTGGAGCTTATAACATGATGGTCAAGCTGTCGAGGGAACAGTTGGACAAGGGTGTTATCTGCTCATCTGCCGGAAACCATGCTCAAGGGGTAGCATTGGCTGCTCAGAGACTTGGTTGCAATGCTGTCATTGCTATGCCTGTTACGACGCCAGAAATTAAGGTCTGATTTACTCCTATGTGATAATCAAGGTTTGATTTTGTTTGTTATGTCATATAATGTGGTTAATTTTGGTTCTTTCTGTGCTCTGAAACTGCGTATCTGTGCAGTGGAAGTCGGTCGAGAGGTTAGGTGCAACGGTTGTCCGTATAGGGGACTCATACGATGAAGCACAAGCTTATGCGAAAAAGAGGGCGGAAGAGGAAGGTCGAATCTTCATACCTCCCTTTGATCATCCCGACGTCATTGTAGGGCAGGGAACAATTGGGATGGAGGTTATACGTCAAATGAAAGGTCCACTGCATGCGATCTTTGTGCCTGTTGGTGGTGGAGGGCTGATAGCAGGAATCGCTGCTTATGTAAAGAGGGTTCGCCCAGAGGTTTGTGAGTCAATGCTACACCAACCTTCTTCAGGAAACTGTTTGAAATCTTCCTCCCCCGCCCTTCTGTCTTATTTTTAAGATGATTTATAAACTGTAAAGAAAACTTAGTAAACTGGTCAGGTCATTGCACACTTTCCTCCTCAATAGAAAGTTGAAAATATCATTATTTTTTTTCTTATTCACCTCATATTAATATCTTCAATATTTGCATTGGTCATTGCTCAAACTTTCCTCAACTTAAGAAGACCTTGTCCCAACATTCTGGGATTCTGAAAAGGAACAGGAGTGCAGTTTAGTTTGTCTCGAGAGTCGAGAAGTTGAAGTAGAAGGATGGCTGGAAAGGTTGTGATTAAGAATCCGAATGAAGGGGTTTTCAGATTCCTGCACTTGTACAAGGAGGGTGAAGAGTTTTATGCAGGCCACTTTTCAGTAAGGAGAAGGGGAAGACAGGGCATGTATAGGGGGGAAGTCTGATGGAGGAGGAGAAGGCTGTGTAGGATCAGGTCTGTCTTTGAGGATTAAGGTGAAAATTTGTTGTAAGTCATTGGTGGTCCCAGCTGATGATTGATTCTCAACTAGACGAAAAAGTGGTTTGGTGTAGATGAACAATTTGAGTAGGTAAAGTTGGAATGAATAAGCAAAACCATGTTTATGAACATTTTTGCTGGATTGGGGTGGATGCTAGGGGTTTTTTTTGGAAGACCCTAAGAGGGCGATAAACTGTTGGAGAACAGAGAGAAAAGGAAGGAATCTATGTTAACCAGATATTGGTACATGCTTATTGTACTAGTGTCAAACAGGATACTAGATACAATACTATATATTGCAAGGATACTTCTATATGTACTATATAGCACTAAAACTTATAGTGTATGGAAAATGGTATGTTCTAACAAATTATAAGGGCCATTGCTTGATGTAAATGTAAACTCTTGGTCTGACAAGTGTGAGAATTTAGGTTGGAGTTATTGAGTACAAGAGAAGCCACTTTGTGCATAAAATAAAATAAACCAAGGGTTAGGTCTGCATCCATTCCATACCTCCCAAGACCCTAGATTGTTGGGAGTAACATTGGGTAATGGCCCTTATTAGCATGTTCTAACAAATTAACAACGAAATCTGTACATGTTACAAATTTAGTTAAATTTGGCAAAAAATTAAGTTTTCAGAAATGATATTTAGGCTCAGTTTGGAAGGAGTACAAATACAAATATGTAAAGTGCAAAGCCTTGTATTTTGTATCATTTTGTATGTATTTGTGCTGTACAAATTTGTATTTGTACTCTTTCCAAACTGAGCCTCATGCTCAAAATCTATATGTAGAAGCATGATGCAATTACATTACATTGGATGCCAACCTGTATCCCTGTCCAGTGTCCAGGATTTTAGGTAATGGCAAGAAAATGATGGGAAGAAGCAAAGAGTCATGATAAGTATTTTTCTGTAATTTGATGGGTCTAAGGGACAGTCTCTCTCTCTCTATATCTATCTATCTATCTATCTATCTATCTATCTATCTATCTATCTATCTATCTCCAGGTGGGGGTGTCTCTAGTGGGTTTGAATATTTGTAGCATTTGCTGTAGGAGGGATGTTGTCTATTTATTGTGCCTGGGGTTTTGTTCAGACTTATTAAGAGCTTTAAGCTATCTCACAATTACTCATGCATGAATATTTGGAGTATGATCATGAACGTTATGCTTCCTGACTTTATGCAGGTAAAGGTCATTGGAGTGGAGCCTTCTGATGCAAATGCAATGGCACTATCTTTACATCATGGGCAGAGAATCATGTTGGAGCAGGTTGGAGGTTTTGCAGATGGTGTGGCTGTTAAAGTGGTTGGTGAAGAAACTTTTCGCTTGTGCAGGGAGTTGGTGGATGGTATCGTTCTTGTGAGTCGTGATGCTATCTGTGCATCAATCAAGGTTAGGTTCCTTCAAAATTTTTTCATATCAAGTAAAGGATGAGAAAATGTTGATGAAAAAATGTAAAACAAGTACAAGATCTTGGGGATATCAAAAAAAGAAAAAAAAACAAAGCAAAACCCAAATGACAAGCCAAAAAGACTTGTTTTAGCATGTATTGCATGATCTTAGCAACAGGGCATTCCTGTTTGACCATTAATACATTGAATTTATCAATAGAAAAACAACTTATCCCTCAAAACACTCAAGATTGTTATCTTGTGATTGGCTAAATGAGCTTTTTTTTTATCGACTAAGGAGTTAGCAAGTCAGTACTGAATCTTTTGTTGGACATGAGAATTGCAATATCTATTTTTCCTTTATACTGATGCATTTTTCTGCTGATTAAAAAAAGAATATATATATATATATACACACACACACACACACAAACACACACAAAAAAAGAAATTTGCGTCAGATTATCTTGGAAATGTCTTCTTGTGCCTATTTTGCAGACATTAGGCAAAGGCTACTTCCACCTGATGCTTCACCTTTGTCCTTGACAAGTTTGGCACATGGTGAAATCTTTGATCACTATTGGCATTCTGGCTTATACATTGCCTCCATTTTTTGATAATAAATACATTCCCTCCAAATTGAACCTTTGACGTTGTTTCTCCATTTGCCTGAGAAAGTTTCAATTCTGTTTTATGTAACCATAAGCAGCTTGGTGCTGTTACAGGTTTAGCCCAGTAAAAACAGATCCTGAAAATTAAAATATACATTAATGTCATACCTGGTGCTTAGATGTTTGCAAGCGAATAGCATTGGCATGCATATTTTAAAAAAAAAACTACTCTACCCATCAAACCTTGTTTAAGCTGTGCATAGAGCAATACAATCTGTTTCTGCCAATCAGATGCAACTTATTCAAGTCTTAGCAACTCTCTTCAGTTATGCGGGATGCCAAATTTATGGTATCAGCTCTTTCCAGTGCAATGGATGTGTAAGACCATGCATTCTAGGATTTTACATTTCTAAGGGATCATAACATTATCAATTTATCACTCACTATGCAGGACATGTTTGAGGAGAAAAGGAGCATTCTAGAACCAGCAGGGGCTTTGGCCTTGGCTGGAGCAGAAGCATACTGCAAATACCATGGCCTTAAGGGTGAAAGTGTTGTAGCAATAACTAGTGGGGCAAACATGAATTTCGATAGGCTTAGGTTGGTTACTGAACTTGCTGATGTTGGTAGGCAACGAGAAGCTGTTCTTGCAACCTTTTTGCATGAAGAACCTGGGAGCTTTAAACAGTTTTGTGAACTGGTATGGTATTGAACTTTTCCCGTCAATGTTTAACATAATAACAGCTCCATTTCATCCTGGTCTTTGAACTAATTATCATCTTCATATGGGAAGGTGGGCCAAATGAATATCACTGAATTCAAGTACAGATACGATGCTTCCAGAGAAGATGCTCTTGTTCTGTACAGGCAAGCACCATTCAATCTGTATGAATAAAAGGAAAAGAAATGCAAAATTTCTGAAGCAACTTTCTCTTGTACAGATATCCTCTTTTTTATTGTTCTCTGTCTCTCATCAACCTTAGGGTAGGGACATTTTCTATGCTAGCTTTATGAAATGATGAAAATGAAGCAGATGTTTGTGATTTTATCTTTTGGTTGTTTGCAGTGTTGTCCTTCATACTGTTTCTGAACTTGAAGCAATGGTGGATCGGATGGAGTCTTCCCAACTTCGGACCATCAATTTAACAAATAATGACTTGGTCAAGGATCATCTACGACATTTGGTAATCATCTTGACCAAATTGAGGTGTCCCTTGTTTTTCATGTTAGGCGGTTTCATGTATTATAGATGCAATAAACTGGTTCCAGTTGTTGGTTCTTCATTGTTTGTATCATCCAAGGGTCAAAATTTCACAATGTATTGGCCCACATCGTTTTGATGAAGTTTCAGTACATGGAATGCATGGAATTTTTATTACCATTCCTTTGCGTCTGTATTAGACTGATACAGGCACATATCAACTTGTTTTGCATCTGTATCAGACTATGCGGATCCGATACAGGCCAATACATTGCGAAATTTTGAACCTTGGTATTAATAACCCCATTCCCTCTCCTCTCTCTCTATCTAATAAGTCTTAATATTTAAGACGTTTTAATTTCAAATGTCTCATCCCCTCTCTCTCTCTCTAATAACTCCTATATTTAAGACTTCAAATTCAAATTTGTCTCATTCCTAATCTTTCTCATTAATTACTTCCTCTTTCTCTCTCAATAATCACTCTTGTTATTCACATATTTAAGGCTCAAATTCAAATTTGGCATGCCATTGATCCCAGAACCTATAATTTTGGGTATAAAAACTAGAAATAGGCAATAGGAAGGTTTGAACCATGGTCACTAGTTTTTAATGACCACAAGCTCACCACTATGCCTATTCTATTTGCTTGTCATATATATATGCATTTTTATTCTTAAGTAGCTTTCTCTTCTTGGTGGATGTTCATCAATAAATGCTAAAATTGATTATTAAAATTTATATATTAATAAATATTAAGACAAATTATATTGATTTTCTGAAAATTAAGGTATATGCATGTATATTTTAGTTCTTACATCATTTTTCAATGGTTACCAATTGTATCCCAATATCTCACACTTTATATAAACCATTAAAGTATGAATTTTTTATGTTTAAATAACTTATTTATAGTCATATGAAGCTTGCATTTATTGTTAATATATTTTTTAGGATTTATTTGAGTTTCTTAGCATATCCACATATATCTTAATTTTTCATCTGTATCCATGCATGTCCAAAGCTTAAAATTGCCTTTCCAATACACTGCATTTCCAATACTTTGAATCTTGGTGTCATCCTACCTAGAAACATGATTTTTTTTTTGTTTGGTGCACTGTGTATACACAAACATCTTCTATTCAGATTGAACCAAGTAAAATGTCAATATGCATCCATAAAGAAGAGTTTTATAGAAGTGAGATTTCATACAAACATGCCTGTTGTTGTAATCAGAAGCCTAAGAAATAATGCCAACAGTAGGAGAGGGTTCTATTTGATCAACATTTGTGGGCATGGTGTTAGGTTATAGAATAAGTATTTTAATACCTTGTCAGCTTGGGGCTTTTAGAGCTTACTTTTAATGCTTTGTGTTTAAGTGTTAAAGTTTTTTTTTTTTGATTAGTATGTTTAAGTGTCAAGTTTCATTAAGAGTATTAAGAAGTTTTGGATTTAACATCATTATAGAGCTTTAAAAAATAATTTTGGTTAATTTAGCTAGTCATATAAACACTACATGGGTATTTCTTCTTGGAAATCTCCAAGGTAAGGACATTATGTTTATTTACTTTTGTGCTCATGATGTGACTTTGGTTGGAACAACTTGGACATGGTAGACCCAATTCTATTTTAATGTTGGGTTGTGCAATATCAGGTTGATCTCTATATTGGGATGTGATAACCTGATTTATATCAGGTTTGACTTGGGTTTTCATAGCTTGATGAAACCTGATTGGAACATGTGTATGATGGATCAAAGAATGGTTGTATCATGTTTTTATTTGTTGCTTGTTGGGGTTTCTTAATATGCAACTTTTTGCTTGAGTAGTTGGTGTGGCTGGGGTTATATTTTCATAGTTCTTGTGCATTAATGTATGTTCTTATATCTATACATCATCCTTTGTCAAGTCAAGTTACCNATAATAGAAGAAGACTGGTGATTGCACTCATCAGGAGTATGTTAGTGCAAGAAGTCTCAAAGAGCAAGGGGAAAGGATAATAGGCATGAGATTAGGGGTGCAAATGGATTGGATCATGATCCGATGTGATCCTATTTGGTTGAACTCGGATCACCCCTGGTCGGATCTTCCGGTTGTATCCTATGATCCGATCAGAAATCGGATCGGATTCAGATCACCCCCTATTTGATCCAAGAAGATCCAATCCGATGTGTTATACATTTATAAATATATATATATATATATATATATATATAAATAATACATATATATGTGTTATTTGTTTATTTATAAATATATTATTTATATTGTATTTTTATAAATTTGTTATATTATTTATTTTTTTATAAAAACCATGTATATATATGATGAAAATAGTTAAAAAATACTTGTATTTTTTGTTTTTTCTTTATTTAAATTGGTTTATTTTATTTTTTTCTTTTAATAGTTTATTAATTTTTAAAGAAAGCAAGTTGGATCAAATCAGATCCAAAGATCCGATAGGATTCAAATTCAGATTGAGTCCTATCAGATCCGATTGGATCGAATCCAACATGAACAGTGTTGGATTGGATTCGAATATACCCTGATCCAAATCTGATCCGATCTGTTTGCATCCCTACTGGCCATTAAAAAATATATGAAAATTTTATTATTTACTAGAAGATACAGCCCTAAATATAACAGAGTGGAAGAAGTGGATTCATGTATACAGACCAAGATAGTTGGGCTAAGATTGATGGTTTTGATGATATAGTTCATAAAGTATAATCTGATTTTATGGTTTTCATTTCTTGTTACAGCCTTTGTCCTTGTATTTTCCTGTTCTTTTTATCTTTTCTGATCTCTTTTTCTCCTTTTTCCTCTCCCAACTTATTATTTCTTCTGTATTAAACTGTAATTAATGATTTGCTATTCTCTATGGTTTTCTTTATGAAAATCCTCTTGCGACTTAAAACCCTACTTGTAACGCAAGATTGGCAATCTGAAATTACAAAATCTTCATAGAAGTCCTTGGCATAGCTAATGTGTCAATTCACTAACTTGGGGGAGAGCATTGAGAATGATTGATATTGATATCCGAGGTTGAGTTGGGGGCATGGAGTAAATAGATTGCTGCTGTTCCAAGGCATCACTATTTCTATCATTTTAGTTTGTCTCTTGAATTAATTTTAGCTGTAAATTTGTAATATTCCTCAAAACTGTACCCCTTTTATATTTTTTATTTATTTAAACAACATATATCGAGAAGCAGGTTCATATGGTTGACCCAAACTTACCAACAAAGTAATTGAAATATACCGGGGAATCAGATTTTTTTCCAACAATATTGTTTCTTAACTGTAACTTTATTGAACTCTACTAATATCACTGCAAAATTTGGCATTATAAAAAATGATAATGAACGTAAAGCAGAAAATTTTGAAAAAAAAGTTACAGAATAAATATAACTGTAGGACCTGTCTTCATTATTAGCATTTGTTGGTTTTATTTGTCACAAGTGTCGGACTAAGTTGAGTTGTGTTTCATTATGAGGGGTTGGGTTGAATTACATTAGGAGCTATATACATTAGACTTGTTTGTTACAGACCTGTATAGTTATCATTATTTCTTGTCTTTTTCAGTTAAGTTCAATTCATGATCTTTTGTCATGATATGACTCTTGTGAACATGGATCCAGAATTGTCATTTTGTGCTTATATGGCACTGAACAGTGTGGAATGGAGAGGTAGGATTTCATGTAGCTGTCCACATATGTGGAACAAAGCTTAGTTGAGTTGAGTTGAGATCTTGTGCCATTGGCCACCACTGTGTTTGCTTCTTCCATATCATCAAAAGTGGTTGTGGCTTGAAATGTTGCTTTTTCAGTGCTAATGGTGGTTGGCTCCATTTCAAGAGAAACCCGTCTATTGTTTTACCAGTATCTGTAGACTTGTAGTTGTTGACACTAGATGGTTGGTGCTATTTGCTCATTAAATGCAATGCTATTGCTATGGTTTCGTTATGTTCTTTTCTCTCAAAATCTTGTTAATTAGGGTAATGCTGCAATTAAAAATTCTTGATGAGTTGGGTTAAGACAACTCATCTTGTAGTTGTTGACACTAGATGGTTGATGCTAATGCTCATTGAGTGCAATGGCTATGGTTTGGTTTCATTTTGTCTTTTTCTCTCAAAATCTTGTTAATTAGGGTACTGCGACTCTTAAAAATTCTTGATGAGTTGGGTTACAACAACTTATCCACCAGTGTTACTATGGGTATGGTTGTTTATTTTCTTGTAGTTTGAAGTGATATTTATTGACCATCATGTGTTTGCTATTATGATGCTTGATTTTGGTCCTGATCCAACATTGTTCTGAATTTCCTTCAGATGGGTGGTCGATCAAATGTTCAAAATGAACTTCTTTGTCGGTTTGTCTTCCCAGAGAGACCAGGTACTCTGATGAATTTCTTGCATACCTTCAGTCCACGTTGGAACATAACTTTGTTCCATTACCGAGGACAGGTTGGTATCTGTACACTTTCTGACTTCTCATCCGTACCATAAAGATACGTGAACATCAAAAGAGTTTCCTTGCCGTCAGTCCACATTGGAACACAAGTTTGCTTTGTTTTGTTGTTTTTTTTTTAAATTTCTTTTAAATATTTGCCATTGCAATAACAAATTAGGGCAAGAACTTTTACCAATGGATTGGTGTCAAATCTGTGATATGACAACACAAGGCAGGGTATATGGATTTTACTGTTAACTGTAAACTGCATTCTAATTTGGCATCAGAAATATAACCCTTTCATTTGAATTGCCTTTTATTGCTTCCACTGTTTCTCCCTAATGTCATTTTTTTTTTCTCAACAGGGTGAGACTGGTGCTAACGTATTGGTTGGTATCCAAGTTGCAAGCAATGAGATGGAAGAGTTCAAGGATCGTGCAAATACTCTTGGATATGATTACATGATCGAGACAAGCAACGAGGCCTTCCGACTGCTGACACAGTAAGTCACAGTAAGTTATTGCACCTCAGATTTCAGTTGAATGCTGGTTGGTGATTGAAGTTTCCCCCTCTATCGACTTCATGGCTAAGTTTAGTGGAGCTGAAGAGTAAACAACATTCTTCATGGAGTTATGTACTAGCCTTATTTTGTTTGTTTGTTTTCTTTTCTTTTTTTTTTAATTTTCTTGGTAGGGGGTTGTTCTGCTTTTTTTTTTTTTTTCTGTTCTTCTCGGAGTTCTCTAGATTTCTTATGTGCCTCAGCCACGGTTCTATCTGTAATCTGAAGTAACCCTTGATTGCTGTTGAAGGTAGCTATACTATAACTTTTTTTTTTGTGTAAATTAACTAACCTTTGGCTACGGAATTGCTTACTGATTCTAAATATCTAAGCCAAGTACCATAATTATTATTGGATCCATTATCTGTAATAATTATTGGGTCCTCTGCCACACACTGGAGTTCTTAAACTTGTGCTTGTGTCAAACCCAACTTTTCCAGCCATCAAAGTTGACCTTTTATGGGCAAATAAGTAGGTTTAGTTGGTAGTGTGAGAACCTGAATCTAGAACATTGAATTGGAATTGCGAATTGGTATACACGAGTGTAATTAATATAGCAGGTTTGCTAGTCGGGTCTTCAAATATATAGGAACCTTCCACCTGGAAATTTTAGTTTGGAGCTCAAAAGTCTCTGCAAGTATGCATTCCTATACCCGCCATTAATGGAAAAGTTTTCAGCCAAAAGAGGCCTTATCACGTTGAAGATATACTCTTTCATAAATACTTGAACCAAGGTTACAAAAACATATGTTACCTCTAAGTTATTCTTTGTTAATGAAAGAATGATCCATGCTTTTGTGACTGAAATTGACTCCAACAAATCTTGTTTCTTTACCTTTGTGTATTCTCTTCCTAGTAAGGTTGTTCAAAGAAATGTTTGGAACTGGTTAAGGAAAATTTCAAACAATATTAATGAAGTTTGGCGTGTTATTGGCCATTTTAATTCTTTTAGAAAAAAGAGAATAAGAGAAGGGGTAGAGAAGTTTGCACCAGTCAAACTCAGAATTTTAATGATCTAATTGGTGACTGTGATCTTATGGACTTTGAGAAGGTCTTCAATTTACTTGGAAAAATAAGACAACTTGGGAGTGCTTAGATTGGGCCCTAGTTAATGAGGTTTGGAGGGAGATGTTCCCTAATGCTTGTCTTATGAACCTTCCTTTCTTAGCTTCTGATCACACTCCCCTCTTACTTAATACAGATTCCATGCTTTCCTTTGGGCCTAAACCTTTTAGGTTTGAATCCATGTGGTGTTTAGATCCAAAGTTGGAAGAGAGAATCCAACCTGCTTGGAACTTGAAACAAATGGTTCTAGAGCCATGCAATTTGTAAGGAAAAGAAATAACTTAGTCCATATTCTTAGAGAATGGAACAGAAATAAATTTGGCAACATATTCAAAAGGAAATAGGATATTTTTAAGAGGCTTGAGGAGGTGTAAAATCAGCAAATTGGTGCTAATGATAATCCCTCCTGTCCAGTTTAGAAGTCCTCCAAAAACAGTTGAATAATATTCTCAAAAGAGAAGAGGCTTATTGGGCCTAGAAATCTAGAATTGACTGGATCAATTTAGGAGATAAAAATAGCAATTTTTTTTTCACACAATGGCCACCATAAGAAGGGCTAGGAATATGATCATGGGTATAAAAGATGATGAAGGAAATTTGATTAATGTTCAACATGAAATTTCAAACATTTTTTGCAATAAATTTGAACAAAGATTTCAATATGAGGGTACAAGTAATATTGAAAAAGCCATTAGTGGTATCAAGACATGTATAAGTGAAGATCGAAATTATGAGGTTAATAGAGATGTTACTGATGATGAGATTCTTAGTGCCCTCCGTTCAATGAAAGACCTCAAAGCTTTGGGTCTTGATGGTCTCAATGCTTTATTTTCTTTATTGAAAAATTATTGGACTATTGTTAGGGATTCAGTTTGCAAGGTGGTGAAAGTATTCTTTCACCCATGAAAGTTATGTAGGATACTAAATAAAACTTTTTCTCTCTTATTTCAAAAAAGAAAAACCCAGAAACTGTGGACAGTCTTTATAATGTCATTTATAAAATTATTTCTAAAATTCTAGTCAATAAAATCAAACCTTTGTTGGACAAAATTATCTCCCCATTTCAGAGTGTCTTTGTGCCAAACAGACAAATCAATGATAACATTTTGATCGCCCATGAGATGATCCATTCTATGAGGAAGAAGATGGGCAGATCAGATCAGGTTTGATGGCTTGTAAGATTGACATGGAAAAAGCTTTATGATAGATTGGAGTTGGATTTTATTGAGAAAATTTGGTTTCTATGAGAGATGGGTGGGATAGGTTATGGGATGTGTCAAATCTGTCTCTTATCAGATTTTGATTAATGGCAAGCCCTCAAGAGAAATCTATCCCACTAGAGGCATAAGACAGGGGGACCCTCTTTCTCCATACATTTTTGTTCTCTATGCTGAAGCCTTTGCAAGATTGTTGGAGGAAGAATTTGAGGTTATTTGGTGCCCTATTGGTTGTAAAATTTCTAGGGGTGCTCCAAAATTCCTGTTCTACAATTTGTATATGATTGTCTTATTTTTGCTAAGCCACTATCCCTACAGGTCTTAAAATCAAAGAAATTCTTGATGATTATGCTAAGTTTTCAGGGCAAAGTCCTAACTTTGCCAAACCTACAGTTATATTTTCAAAAAATATGCCCATAACATTTAGGAAAATTTCAGCTAAAATTATGAAAATCCCTTTAGAAGTGAACTCCAAATCTTACTTAGGGGCACCTATCATCAATAGAAGGGTGACTAAAAATACATAATAAGATCTCCATGAGAAAATTGTCGGTCAGTTGGCCAATTGGAAGAAGAATACCCTCTCTATGGTGGGAAGAGAATCACTTGGTCAATTCTACTTTAAGTGTGGTCCCTCATTTTATTATGAGATCGTTCCAAATTCCAAAAAATGTGATTGAGGAGGTTGATAGGAACCAAAAAATTCATCTAATGGAGTGGGAGAGAGCTTGCACTCCTAAAAAACAAGGGTGGTTTAGGGCTCAAAAATCTTATTTGGGTTAATGAAACTAATCTTGCAATACTGGGTTGGAAAATTCTCACAGAGGAAGGCAACCTTTGGGTGAAAGTTGTGAAAGGTAAGTACCTTAAAAATAATAATTTTTTGGATGTTAAAATCAAAAAGGTGTTTCATGGGCTTGGAGAGGAATTCTAAAGGCTAGAGACCTAATCAATGGTATGAGGTGGGAGATTGGCAATGGTAGATCAGTGAACTCCTGTAAAGATAGATGGTTTGGAGATGAGGCCATTGTCGATTTGATTCCTCAAGAAAACATTTGTTAATGACGAACTCTTAGTTAGTGATGTGATTGATCAAGAAAGGAAAGTATGGAGGAGGGAGAAAATCTGTAATCTGTTCCAAACAATGTTTGGTTGAAGATCAAGGATATATTCATCCCCTCTAAACAAAAGGATGATAAATTGGTTTGGTGGTTTAATTCTAATGGAAAATTCTCTTCTAAGTCTGCCTATCATTGGAATGTAATCATTACATTTATTGAATCTTGTGAATGGTTTCAATTGGAATAAGAATATTTGGAATCTCAAGTGCCCTCCAAAGCTGCAAGTTTTTGTGTTCCTTCTTCTAAATAATAGACTGCCCACTAAGTCTCTTTTAAGAAGTAGAGGAGTTAAGATTGATGGAGGATGCAATGTTTGTGGAGAGGTTGAGGATGCGAATCATATTTTCAGAAATTGCTCATTTGAGAAAAACTGTTGGTTGAGTATTTATCCAACTATCCAAGGTTTGAAGGAGCAAGAAGTGTCCTTTAGAGATTGGTGGTTAGAACTTTTTGAAAACTTACCGAATGAGAAGGAAAGGTCAAGGGAAAAATTCATCTTCGTTCTTTGGCAACTCTGGAAAAGCAGAAATATGAGGGTTTTTGAAAATATTTCAATTCGATACCTCACACTAAAGTCATCGATAAAGCCTATGTCTCCTTTGCTGAATTTCAAGAGAACATGATCGATATCAAGGGGAGAGAATAGTATCAAGAACTGTAGCTATATAAGGTGGACCCCCGAGATAGATGTGATTAATAAATTTTGATGCTTCGCGGTTGGAAGGTGCTTTGTGCACCTTTGCTACGCTTGCTAGGAACCACCTCAGTGAAGTGCTGGATATTGAAGCATATAAATTGGACCTTGTTTCTATTAACAAAACTGAAGTATGGGCTGTTTGGGAAATCCATAACCTAGCCATGAATTGCAAGAATTATCCTCCTCTCATTTTAGAGGGAGACTCCAAGATCGTGATCTCTTGCCTTAATAAGGTAATGCCTTGCTCGTGGAATCTACGGAATATCATCCATGACTGCTGGGAGCTGAAAGAGAGGTGTGAGAAGAGAATCATCTACAAACATGTCTTTTGTGAGGCTAATCAGGCTGCAGAGTGGCTGGCTCACCATGCGTTGAAGTCCAGTCATCAATTAATGGTTGTATTTTTCTAAACCTTTGTAAGCTTTCTTGGTCTTTTGCTTTTATTTGTTCCAGTGATTTGTGGGAACGTGCTATCCCCCGGTCTTGTATAACCCCTTCTAGTCTTATTAAAAGAAACCTTAAACCAAGGTTTAAAGTATCGATACACAAAAAGATATACTTCTATATATAATCTTTTATGTTTATTTTACTTTTTTTTTCAAAATTTAGTTTTGTATATATGTGTATACAAAAAAGAGATTTCCAAAAACACCTATAAACAAATGTATCAGAATCCCTAAAGATACGATACAATATGCCCACATCATACTTTAAACTTTGACTTTAACCAATAAGTATTGACATTTGACAGCCTTCATGGGTCAGGCAAAACTTGAATACAAGGTTGTCAATGGAGTAGATATGGACTATGGGATTGAATGGATGGCCTATCGACCTGGTCCCTTTGCTTGGTGAACGTTGTGGATCTACCATTTGATTACTTAAGTATAGTGGGTTGGGTAATAAGTTTTTGAGGTTCCAACTTCCTGACTGGCTGAGTGCCAGCCAATATGTTGGTTCCAAGATGCTTCACCATTAAACAGGTGTTTGGATCATATGCTCTACCTTAGTTTTAGTTTTTTCTTTTTCTTATCAAAATTTCACAGGGGATTGGTCTTAAGCTTGCCTGCCGCTGAACATATCAAAAAGACAAAAACCCTAGGCATCTGCTATTTAGCGTATCGGGACATTGGGGTGTAGCCGAAACGATATGGTACGCTTAATACACTCCTATATGTTACGAAATTTTGATCCTTGGTTATTTTGCGAAAGTTTCTTACTTTATATATATATATATATTTTAATGTAAAAGTTTATACTTGAATAGAGATTTTTTTGGTAACAAAAATTGTTGTAATGAAGGAATTAAATGAAGGCAATGTACTCGTAAGGCTCAGATTGGACCGGAAGGTCTGATTGGGAACTAACAGCCATTCCGGGTTTTTTAGAATCCAGTTTTCAAACCAGCTAACCTGTCAAAAAATCCACGAGCATTGTTAGAAACCATTTAAGTTTTAACAAACCGGTTTTCAATGACCAGCCCGGGTCATCGATGCATTTGAAATTATAAAATAACAACAATAAGATTTGAACCTATGACTTCTTACTTGTATATAATAATCTCTAATGAATTAGGGAATGATTTAAAACCGATCAATAAAAGAGGTAATCAATCAAGTGGTATTCATCAAAATTCACAGGAATACTTTGAATGGTCAAAATTCACAGGAGTAAAATAGAATCAATTGCCTGAACGGTTCCGGGACCAAATGGTCYGACCGTTCGAGTCAACGGGAATTTGAAAACCATGATGAACAGTTTGAGTCTTAAAACATTGGGTGTGAATTCTACATAAAAAAGTGAAAAAAATAAGAAATAATTTTAGAATGCCTTTCCAAGCTATTTACATCAAATATGTTTAAAACAGTAAATGTTATATGTTATAATAGAAATTTTTAGGTACCATGGTTATGATCTATTATTAGGCATATTTGAGAGAGGTTTGGCCAAGTCAACATTTGGAAAAGCCCAACAACTCAAAAACCATTTTGACAGAAGATCCAGATAATCCAACTTCCAATCGGGTCCCAGTCCGATTACACTGCTGATGATTTCATCTCTGTTACAAGAGTATGTATCATACATATCCACACTGTGGTTAAAGATCAAAGAGGGATGAGTTTTAGAATGAACAATCATTCAACCCATTTTTCATAAATGGGGCCACATCCCTGATCAAAACAACATCCCCCATGTTATGGCTTCTATGATACTAAGAATGTGCCTGGTTTATCAAAAATGGGACTTGCCATAATCAGTAATCAGTTAATCACTCCCCATAATCAATCTATTAATTAGATGGGTTGGGTCAGGGGCCAGTATGGTTTGGTCTTGATCCACTAAATATGGGACAACCGGACAGTCAGTGAGTTATGGGCGCCCCAGAAGAGCTCAGAGCCCCAGACCCATCTATAGTGCAGTGGGATCTGACCTAGGAGTTAAGGACACTCCTTTACCTAGAATAGCATGTTCTTGGATATCCGAACCAAGGTCAACACTGAATTACGATTTAGGAGAAAGAGAAAATCATCTGGATTTGGTAGTAGAGGTTCATGACTTCAGGATTTTCAGGGCCCTATCAAATCTATAGGTTTAGAGAAACAAGAAACCCCAGTAACTCATTAACTATTAGAGGAGTTGAAGGTCAGAGAAGAGATGAAGAAAGAGATATGAGTTTTCAGATCATGCAAAATCTCTTCTCCTTCAAGTAAGATCTGGATGAGCAGCAGCGGCAAGCTTAAAAGGTCACGAATACAAACAAAAGTCCAATTAAATACAGTCTGAACCTGAAGGCCTGAACAATAGTAATTGTAGGTTTCATTTATCAATACTTAAAACACATATACCACGTTCTCTCAAATACATCCTCATCCACAGACTACAGACTCGTTTGGTACGTTTTTTTGCATGGTCTTTCGGGTGATTACAAATTGGGCTTACTAATTTTTAGTCTATTTCTGTTTGGTTCGTGAAGGATCTAATCACTAAAAGCGAGAGTGTAAAAAGTCCATTTTAAGTTGATTTTGRGAAACTTTTAACYGAAATTTTTTATGTTTTTGAATGTAAAAGTTCAATACGTCTTTTGAATGTCAGAACTACCATCCAAAAGAGATAAAAAGAAAAAAAAAAACCGAAGAGCCCTAAAATTAGAATTTTAGTTTTATATTAACAAACACTGGTTAGTACCAACTCTCAGAAACATACTTCATCCAAATATTCAAGACACGCCACTTATGGTAGGATAAGTAATAGCTGACTTGTCATTTGGAAATTTGAAACCGCCACCCTTTTTTCTTTCACATTTTCTTTGAAATCTTTTCCTCAACCAAACACCCATCAGCTCTTCAAGCAGACTCGGTCAAAACTAGACAAAATAGAAACACTTTTTGAAGACTTGAAGGTGAGATATCACTTCATCACTAGCCTTTAAAGGGGTGCCAAAAATGCTTCCTTAGCTGGAAATGAACAGGTTTCTTAGGACCCTACCCTTCATCTCTAGTTATTGCACCTTACAAATAACAAGCTCAGCCTGTCCCTCAGACCTCAGTTCTCTGTCCCTCAATCTCATTCAATCTCTCTCTCTCGAACTGGACCAAGTAACATTCTGTTCTAGTAGGTGAAGTGGAAAGGAGTATGGGTTTTTCGAGTTCTCTCTTGGGTTATTCCTTCCTTGTTCTTGTTCTGGTGGTCTCTGTGGTTCATGGGCAACCTCTTGTTCCTGCATTATGCATCTTTGGAGACTCTGTCGTTGATGTGGGAAACAACAACAATCTCTACACTCTGGTGAAGGCGAACTTCCCTCCTTATGGAAGGGACTTCACAAAACACAGACCAACTGGCAGGTTCTGTAATGGAAAGCTAGCCTCTGATTTCACTGGTAATACCATCCTTTCTTTCTCTGATTCGTCTGCTCTTTACACCTTTCCTCTGAAGGGTTTGTGTTGTTTTGGTACCTCTAAACACAGCTGAAAATCTTGGCTTCACTACGTATCCACCTGCTTACCTTAGCCCAGAAGCCCGTGGGAACAACCTCTTAATTGGAGCGAACTTTGCATCAGCTTCTTCTGGTTATTATGATAGAACAGCTCAGTTATATGTATCTCTCTCTCTCTCTCTCTCTCCTCTGTATTTCGTGGAAAGATATTAATAATTTGTTTGGATTATATTGTTGGGCAGGACGCCATTCCATTGACCCAACAGCTAGAGTACTACAAGGAATACCAAAAGAAAGTAGCAAACATTGCAGGGAAGTCCAATGCTTCCTCCATTTTTTCTGGTGCTATCTACCTAGTTAGTGCTGGGAGCAGCGACTTTGTTCAGAACTACTACATTAATCCTCTTCTCTACAAAGTCTACACGCCCGATCAGTTCTCAGACTTACTCATGCAATACTTCTCTTCATTCATTCAGGTCTCCATTCTCACCATACTTCAATGCAGTCACCCATTCATAATATATCTCACCCTCACTGTTACTCCATTACAGTTCCATTAATACTCTTCTTCCATATCATACTGTGCAAATGTGCATTGCTGCACTCAGACTCAGTCGCTTGTACGTGCTTTTAACTTATTGGTGCGCTTTATTGATGCCTGTCAGAATCTATATGGGTTGGGAGCGAGGAAGATCGGAGTGACGACGCTGCCACCGGTCGGATGCTTGCCGGCAACAATCACTCTCTTCGGCGCCGGGAGCAACAGGTGTGTGGCGAGGTWAAACAGAGACGCTGTGTCATTCAATAACAAGCTAAACGCCACAGCTCAAGGCTTGCAGAAGAGGCTCTCAGGTCTCAACCTCGTCGTCTTTGACATCTACCAACCTCTCTTAGACATAATCAACAAGCCTGCTGATAATGGTATGTCTATAAATGTCTCTGCAACTTCTTTTCTACAATGCGGGGCCCATTAAACGGTGGGTTCTATTTCTACCCTGTACCTTGGGTAGGGATATTTACTTATTTAGCCCCCGAGCTTTTATTCTTGACAGACACTTTAAACTTTCAGATTCCAGCACTTTGCCCTCCCCCGTTGGCATTTCTGTCAATTAATTTAAAAAACTTATTATCTACCGTCATGTATTTTTTAAACATTTTAAATCTCTAAATTATCCTTTTCCTAATTTATGAACCATTATGCCCTTGCTCTTATATATTTGTACAAACTCTTTATTTATGTATTTTTTTTTTCTTTTTTCATACAAAGTAGGTGAGAAAGAGATGATTTGCTTTGCGCTGCTCTTTTTAGTCATTTCAAAATGTCATTCTTTTACCCATAACAATACCAAAAGGGCATTTTAGTAAATTAATTTCTCCCATAAATCCAATTAATCGAGAGGGCAAAGTTTTGGAATGTGAATGTTGGGCTTAGAGTCACTATGCCAAAGTACAAGGTGGTAATTAGTAATTTACCCTTTTTTTTCCATTTTTCAAGTGTTTTTCTTGCATACTTCATGGGGCCACACAATAGGGGTAGCCTATGTGGGACATTAAGAAATTAATGGATCCCTTTCTTTGATGAGTTCGACTTGGTCAGTGCAATGCCTGTTCGAACAGCCTTTACAACCTTGAATTAGAAATATCTCCCTACTTATGCGCTTTATTTTATGGAGAGATATTTCTAATGCAAAGTTGCAAGAGGCTGTTCAAACTGTTTGAGCACGGGCTTGCACTGATCGAAGCTTAACTCTTTTTTGATTGGYTCCATCACAAGCTGATCAACCATACGGTTGTCATCTAAAACCCTATTTATGGCCCAACTAAGGTGATAAATGTTAAAAAGTACCTAAAGAATCACATCTATCAGAGACTGATGATTTCATCAAATGTCCTCAGTGCAAGCCCTATAACCTTGATATTGTGTGGCAGGATTCTTCGAGGCAAGAAAAGCTTGTTGCGGGACCGGGACGATAGAGACATCACTGCTCTGCAACTCTCAATCAATTGGGACATGTATAAATGCCACAGAATATGTGTTTTGGGATGGATTCCATCCAACTGAGGCCGCAAACAAGATCTTGGCCGATGATCTTTTACTCCAGGGCATCTCTCTTATATCATAAGCAAAAAACCAATCACATTTAAGGATTTCTTTGCTCACTCTTAGAGATACATGACTACATAAACGTCATTTGGGTGTTGTCAGATAAATATAGAGGTTTTGACTTGGTTGGTGATTTAGTTGTTGAGAGTTTAGTTGTCTCATGATGTCATGTGTGTTTTGTAACCACGCCTGGAGCATCTGGAATTTATAATTTATAGTAATAAACCCTTTTTCCTTGATAAAAACAACAATGGTTGGATGGTTCATATTCATGATTTCAGAGAGAGAGAGAGAGAGAGAGAGAGAGAGGAATCTAGATAGGCAATCTGAGCACCAGCTTGAGAGGAAAACTGCCATGTTATGACATTTACAGACAACTGTGGTTCAACATTGCAAAATCTAGATATCAATTTCTCATTATACAAGGAGACTGAAACTAAACGGCAGAAAACAGAGCCAAAGTTCATCACCAGAACCAGCACTGGGGTTCCAATTCTCCTAAGAAAGTTCAAATCCTGCATTAGAACTGATGGCATAGAGAAGTTTTGCCCTCAAGGTGCTGGGTCGTTTGTAAGTTGGAAGCTGTAATCCCAAGCGGAAACAATGAATGCATAGAAGTTTTAGAGAAGAAACGACATAGTATCTGTTAACTATAACGAAGACTGAAGAATCTGTCCTGTGACTAATGAATTGATGCAGAGGATATTAGTGTAAATACTACCTTGAGTGTATTATAGCAAGTGGATGCTGAAGGAAGCCGATCCACATCCTGCCCTCCAATTGCTGACCAAAGAGGCACATCGCATGCAACCTGAAGGCAAAAATGTTCTTAACTGACCTCCAGTTCTCCCTTGCATAATAAATGAATAAGAATCCAGCAGGAAGAGCCATTCAGAATTAAGATTCGAATGTGAACTTACATTCACAAGATTATAGGGAAAATTGTTCAGAAGCACATTCCTTGTTAATGTTTTTTCCCAACCATCAATTAGGATCCTCAAAAATAACAACCATACCTGCCTGGGTTCTTGGTACGGGTGTAGGTACCCAATAAAGCAACACACCAAACATATCCAATCCAAACCTGATTATTAATTTCCTACTTCTTAGGTCTAATTCTAAGGAGCTGCTCTATTAGTGGGTCAGATTTGGAAATAGGAAGTTAAGGACACCTTAGGATCTGGGACCACCCATTGGGTTGCGACATGCTCACACACAAGTCAGTTGCATTTCCATAATTACAGGGAGAGTCTGATAAGAATGAGTTTATCAGACATAATGGCCATTTTTTATATGGCAAGTGAATAGCATTAGTTACTACCAAGGTTCAAAGTATCGATACTGGCCGATACACCCTTTTTCTTAACTTCCACTTTTTTTTTTTTTTTTTTTTGATTTTGGTTCAGAGGGGCCGGTTTAAGTCCCGGCTACCCTCTTAACCAGGCCCTGACCCGATACAACCCCTCTAGGGGTGTATTGGGAAGGGCCCGATACGGGCCGATACGTAAAGATTTTTTGAACCTTGGTTACTACGTATTCATACTATTATAATCACTTTCTAGGTTGGTTGGTCCAATGATAAAATCTCAGGCTGGCAAGTGCGAGAGCACTGGTTCAAGTCTGATAGTGGACACCTTATGAAAAGGATTTAAAAAAATAAAAGATGCTAAAAATTAGGTCCATAATTATAGGGAGAGTCTGATAATAATGAGTTTATCAGACATAATGGCCATTCTTTATAATGGTAAGTGAATAGCATTAGTTACTACGTATCCATACTATTATAATCACTTTCTAGGGGTCATTGGTTGGTCTAATGATAACATCTCAGGCTGACAAGTGTGAGAGAACTGGTTCAAGTTTGACAGTGGACACCTTATGAAAAAGATTAAAAAAAAAAGATGCTAAAAATTAGGTCCATATCTAGTCCACCCCTCTCAAGACCCCGGATAGCTGGGACCAACATTGGATAATGGCCTTTTTTTCTTAGTGATCACTTTCAATTTTAGACTTTTAATTCTAAGTTGTTAAAGAATTATTTGCATTTTATTTTAATTCTATTCTTCTATTATTATACTATCTTCACTTTACTATAACCCTTCTTTTGTGAGTTTCTAATCCCTAAACCTAAACCATAATTGCAAGAGCTTGGAAATGGACTTCAACCGCCTGATGATGGCTGCACAAAGACTATCTGATAGAATCCAACCTAAGGTTTCCCTCACAGCCAACCATGCAAGCCCACCACAGACCCATGGGAGGGTACCCATTGCTTCCAGCCCAGCTATTACTAGCCACCTCCCATTCAGTTTGTCAACACAAGGAAGCCACATCGGCTAGTTAGTTAGAACGTCTGGATCTGAAGGAATCACTCAGCTGTAAGAAGATACAAAACCTTGGTTAAGACAAAAGAATAAAAAAAGTGTTGTCTAAGGTGGAGACAGGTGAGAACTTATTGTAAAGGGCTTTTTTGTAATAGATTTTGTCTTCAGGAATCATTTGTTATTCTTTACTGCCTAAGGTCCTATCTGTAATTTTTGTAAGTTTCTGCAAATGTTATGTTGAGAGAAGGGGGCTGACGGCCTCAATTCCTCTTTTCTCATTTTTTTTCTCTTCTTCTTTCCTTTCTTTTCTTCTCTCCCTCCAAAATTCCAAACACCATACCAGCTAAATACACTAAAATCATTTCACTGTGAACCATATTAGTGTTCGCCCTTGATAATGAACATCAATTTATATTAGGCAATTTCTTTAGCATCAAGCACTACATATAATAAGTAAAACTAAACACCAGTAATTTTCAGAGTAATATCTATGCTTCTGAGTAGTGAATAATGAATCTCCCTGCAATAATGTACGGCTAGCAATGCACCTTGTGAATAGTGAAGGCTGGCTGTAAGTGCTTGAATCCAAGTAGTGGAGCTCGAGAACAACTAGTTACAAACTTTAGAAGCATACAACGCTCTTTCGGTTCAAATCCAGAAATGACCTACAACAGAAAAGGAGTAAATGAAAATATAAACATTATACATCAACTTATTCTCGTGATTTCCTTAATTGATAYGAGTATACAACATTCTTTTGGTTCAAATCCAGAAATGACCTGCAATAGAAAACGAGTAAATGAAAATATAAAAACTATGTCAACTAATTCTCTCATGATTTCCTCAATAGAGGAGTAATATCTATGTACACTGTACAAAGGAGAGAAAATTCCTTGGTAAGGGTCCAAACACCTAGTTCGGTCAACTGGTTGGTGGTCCCAAGTGCCTTAATGGTCAATTAGTAGATGCTCTTGTACGACAAGACCAAGTTTTTCTTGAGGTGATAATTGTCCTTGCTTGTATCTTGTAATCACCTCATACTAATAATGTATTCTCTCCTTAATTAATAAACAATTCTTAAAGACTTTGAGGTTGGACCTAATAATTGATTATAAACTATCAGAACAAATGTCAGTACTCTTGATTTAGCAAAATCAATCCTTACATGAAGCAAAGTGGATTCCCATTCAAGAATGGAACCATAGGGTTCATAACATTTCATCCTATGCCCTCAGTTGATTGCTAGTTTGCTAGCAAACCTAGGGCTGTCAACGGTCCGGATCTGGTTTGGGACAGGGCAGAACCTTTCCGAACCGATTGTTAAAACCGATAGTACCGGAACCTAACCAGACCCGATCATCTCTATTATTTCAAAATCGGTACCGAACCATTTAGTAATCAGGACAATCAGGTCTAACCCGATTGGACCCGATTAAAAAAACCCTATTAATACTTAAGACCTATATTTTTTTATAAGAAAAAAATTATTCAATAACCTATTATCAATAAATGTGACGAACCGGAAAATGGAAAGGGTTTTAGGTTTTAAACCTGCCTAAAATTACAATGTTAGATATGCAAAATACTTATCTTACATGTAAAATAACAAAATATGTAAAATATAATAGGTATATATAATCGGTTTGGGTCCAGTCATTTTGGGACAGCCAAAACCGGTCACGAACTGATAGTAATCGGGACAGAAAAATCAAAATCGGAACCGACCCATTGGAATGATTCATAGAACCAGAACCAATATAAACAGTTTGAACGGTTTGGGTCTGTCGGGTAGACCTGACCCATTGACAGGCCTAAGCAAACCATGGTTTTCCTCAAGTTCATAGAAATCAAACAAAGCTTTGGTAAGAAAAATAAGTAAAATATATGGGAAGTTATTCTCACTAAAGCTTAAATGGTTACTTAAAGTGTTTACAGTGTGGACAACAGAGAAACGGAATACATGTTGATGACTTTTGTTGAAGATTAATTAGTTTTATGATGTTTTTCTGAGTAGATGTTTTATGTTAGTTGTTAGATAGGAGGTGGGGACCACAGTAGTTATGTGAGTCCAAATTTTATTATGTTTTTTGAGTGTTATATATGCTGTTTTATGTTTTTCCGCCCTATAAGGG